CTGTCACTAAAATATACCATTTAATGTTTATTCGCGGTGTTACTTACACTGCTGTGGAAAAATCCCAGTAGTGCGAAATGAAGCTGAAGGAGCTAGAAAGCTGTCTGCAGCAGGTGGACACGTTTGAGGAGCCTAAAATCCTGCTGGAGCAGTACCCAACCAGCCCGCACATTGCAGGTGAGGCTGAGCGCATCTGAATAGGGGATCGTACACTGAATACTTTAAACAAAAGTATAACTTCAAAAACATTGGTCCTTTGCTCCCACAGCATGCATGCTTTACACGATCCACAGCACGTTTGACGACATAGAGGGTAAACTGGTGGCAGACCTGGGTTGTGGCTGTGGGGTCCTCAGCATCGGGGCTGCCATGCTGGACGCTGGGTGAGAGGAAGATCCGCAGCAGCAGTCCTGGATGTGGAGCGGGTGTCTGATGTTTTTTTCTCTGTAGTTTGTGTGTCGGTTTTGACATCGATGAGGACGCACTGGAGATATTCAGAAGGAACGCAGAAGAGTTTGAGCTCTCCAACGTGGATCTGCTCCAGTGGGATCTATGCCACCTAGAAGCTGAGGCTTATGCTCAGAGGTTTGATACGGTTATAATGAATCCACCCTTTGGTACAAAACACAACCAAGGTGAGGTTCACCACACAACATACTGATCTTTAATCTGAGTTTTATTTTGGTAGAAATAATGTTTTGTCTTTGTTTGGAGCTCATTAGGGCTGAAACAATTAATAGGATTAATCGATTATTGAAATAATAGTCATCTAATTTAGTTATCGATTAATCATTACCTGGAGTATAGAGACTTTAAAATATGCCTTTACTTGACAGATTGACACACTTAGAGCAGTAATTAAAAGTATATTAAAACATTTTGCATTTAAGATTAAAAAATTTTTTTCGTCTGTCAATATGCTCTATTGATAACTCCTCAAATAAAAAAAGGAACTTTGGCTATCCAATTATTAATTGATCCATTGAAAAATAATCGCCAGATTAATCGATTTGCAAAGTAATCCTTAGTTGCAGCCCTAGAGCTCATATTCGCGTTAGTTTTCTTGTGGTGTCATCCTGTCCTCTGTTTTCACTCAGCTTTTATGAATTTAAATACATTTTAGATGGACTCTTAGTTCACTAGTCTTTTTGCAGTTATGTTTTGAATAAGTAAATAAAAAAAAATCCTAGCCCACAAGCATCCTCATTCATATGATCACTTAAATTTTTACGCTATGTTAATGCTTATCCTATTTATTGACTGCGTCTAAAAATATTAAAGTTATTTTCAATTCAAATGAAGATAGGAAATAATCCAATATAGCGATGATTTAAATTATATTATAGGTAATCAAATCATTGTCAGTTGAGTCTGTCGAATAGGCTGCCTGTAGGGACTTTTAGGGGTGTCAGTAATCAGCATCAGTACAGCTTGGCAGTGGCTGTGTTCGATTTCGGCTGCTGGGTCCTCCGAATGACTCAGCCTACCTGGACTGGATCCTTTGGAGGCCCTGAAAATAAGGAGGCTGCAAGATTTGGGTTATAGATTCAAACAGAACCGCCTCCCAATCAGCTCAGCGTAGGCTCTGTTGCCTAACATCCGGGACAGTTGATGCACAAAGCAGTTAAAGAATGGATGCCGAAATTCTTACTACTGTTCTGTGTGCTGATTACGTGCCTTTTTAAAGCCCAGTGTGTAACGTAGTATTTAGGAATTGGGCCTTAGAATCCGAAGAGTCCACGGTGCTGCGCTGTGACGTAATCGGCCAACGCATGCGGCCTTTGGACACAGCCACTGATTCCCAAACCGGCCCCTAAACACTAACTCTAAGCACTGACCTCTGCGTGTTCCCTGGAGGGTCGGCCCCATTAAGGACTGTCCCAAAGTCCGTCATGGGTAGGGCGAGTGGAGCATTCAGCCCTTAAATAGCGAGCCTGCTTCAGTTCATGCAAATGTAAGTTGAATAAAAAAAACATAAATTTCCAAAGAGAAAGCTCCTCTTTAAAATAGTGTTATTTGACCGCATGCATTTACTTTAAAGAAAGGGGCAAATGTTTGATGTCATGTCAACATGCGTCACGTAGCTACAGTCATGCACATGGGATGGTGCTGCATTGCCATAGCAACAAATAATTTCCTTTTCCATTGGAGGTAAGTGGACATTATACTCATTTATACTCCCACACACACCTTCAATCGAGGAGCCATCTACATCTGCAAGCGCGACTTCATTGAAAGTGACACCTGAAAGTCAAGGGGTAGTGCTTAGGGGTTCGGTTTTGGATTCAGCCTTTCAATCCAAACAGGCCACCGCGTCATGCTATGATGTAATAGGACAATGAATCCTAACCCAGCCGGCGTTTGCTCTATAAGCTTTACGCATGCGCCAATGCATCAGGGTTGCTGGACCCATCACTGCTGTGCATCAGGTGACCCGTCAATAACTAAGGGCTTGTTTACCTCATAATTATTTTTAATGCACGTTCAATTTAATTGCAAAAAACACTATCCTTATGTTTAGAATGCAATTAGAATGCCGTTTGTGTGCCTCCATTTGTTTCCTGCCAACACAGCTGGTTGTGCTAAGAATCACAGAAAGATGTTGAAACATCTTAATTGCAAATGAGAAAGAGGAGTGAAGGAAGTAAGAATTAATTACAACTAATAACATAAATTTAAGAATGTATTAGCATGACTTTCTAATACTAAAAAGCCATTGAAAGAACCATATTCACCATATTTATTTATTATTTGGGAACAAGTTTTAGACTGCTGGAAAAATGGTTGCTTTAGTCTTTCATATTGACCAACAAAGCCTAGTTTTACTGAATAAATTATGATTATATTTGAAGATACAGTGAAAGAAATGTAGGTAATCTATACTTTGAAGTAACTGAAGAAAACCAAAATGCATTAAAGTCAAATCATTGGGGGGAAAATCGTCACAAGGATGAGAGCGAGTCTTGTGCCATCTAACCCTCTGATATCTATAGCTCTCTTTTGTCTTTGAAGCGAGGGATCAGAAACTGTTCCAGTTTTTGCTTTCTGAGGGCAGAGGCTGCTTGCAGGGACTGATTAATGTAACTCTGTCAAAGAGTACTAGATTAAAATGTGAAAGCTGAAACAGAAGTGAACTTCTCAATTATCTTTGGCTCTCTAGAACATCAGGCAGGGAATTACATTTAATGAAAGGATTAAGTGTAAAATGTAGAGATTCCAGCTTTCCTAAATGGTTAACAAGGTTTTCAGTTATCTCAACCAGAGGGAACTTTTTAACACCAGATATAGGAGGCTTGTAGTCAAAACATTTATGAATGTGTTGACTTTATTTTAACACTATTGGTTTTCTATGGAAGAAAAACAGTCTCATTGTTATCTGCATTTTTTTGTACACCAAATTTTAAACACTGAATGTTTTTAACAAAGAATTTTACACATTAAATTCCTTACACTTAATTTATATCTGGTGAAAATTTGACTTTGAAAACCTTTTCCTGGCTGAATGAAGCTGAATGAGGAGTTTTTCTTGTTAAATAGATGTGATCACAAAAGGTCAGGTAGCTACTAATAGACAGCCGTTAGAGATTTTCATCTAATCGGACTGAGTGAAATAACTGAGCCGATGACAGCTAGTGGGGCACCCGTCTGCCAAGGCTCTTGGTTTGATCCGGAAGAAGCGTCTGTCAGCAAACTTTTTTTTTTTCTGACTAAATGAGCTCATTTAATTGGCTAGAAGCTGTTCGACTGCATCAAGTGTAGACTGCTTTGGCTTGAGTTCACCAGAAGGTTGAAACATTTGCAGTTGGATTTTTTTGCAGCTGAACTTTATACAGGCAAATTTTTTTGCATCTGAAATTTTTTGCAAGCAAATAATTTGCAGCTGAAGATAAAATTTCATTGTAAGGAATTCAATGTGTAAAAAAAAATCTGTGTTTAAAATTCGGTGCTAAAAAATGCAGTGTTTAAAATTTGGTGTACAAAAAAAAAAAAGGCATACTCCAATGAAACTGTTTTACTTCCATAGTTTTCAGATAGTCAAAAACAGAATGGCTGAAATTCAAATATTCCTAAATCTATATTTAGGAATATAGATTTCTGGGTGGAAATTGATGTGGAATTAAAAAAAATTCCATGTTCAGCTTTATAATTTCCATATTTACTAAGAACCTACATATAAAAATCCTATTTTTCCAGTCTTATAAGGCTTTGAAAAAAAACAACCATGATTCTCCAAGTACAAAGCTGGAAAACATGTGACATTGAAAACAGTAGAACAGGTATGAAAACATTGAACTTTATTTCGTAAGGATTGAGCAGAAATTACCACTGGTGAAAAATACACGGTTTGTTTCTACTAGACAAGAGTTTGGTTTAGTTTTCTGAACATTGATTACAAATTTTTCTTTTAGGTTAATTTATCTGAGCCACTTTCATCATCCAAACATTCCAACATCGTTTGCTCAAAATGCGACTGAACTGCAAGCTTTAGTACTAATAGTTTGATTTCTTTTACAGTATTTGTATATTTGACTTCTATTCTGTAGAAATCAAAGATAAATTCAGTGTGTTTGGATAAAGGTAGTTACATGTTTTTCTGTCTATTCAAGGGATGGACATGAAGTTTCTCCGTGCTGCTTTAACCATGTCAAAAACAGCGGTGTACTCGCTTCATAAAACATCAACAAGAGAGGTAAGGTCTTCTTCTCCCCTCAGAATTTTATACAATACCACCATTTCTAAAGCACATAGCAACAAACCTTCCAGCTGACCAGGGTGCAGTAGAAAATGTAGAGGAAGAACAGGAATAACACAAACCAGCTGAAGGTTAATAAAATAAAATAGAACCAGTTCACAGAAGACAGATGAGTCCCTCTGAGTTAAAGGACTTCAGGATTTATAAAAATGTTTTTAAACATCTGGTCATCAGAGTTAGATCACATGACGCTGTGTGAAGTTAAAATGAATCTAACAAATGAGGGGCAAGAACAATAATTGACTTGGATTCAAAACTTACTAGGACCCCAGCAAAGGGACACCAATATTAATGTTCTTATTGTGTTGATTTTTGCAACTTAATTTGAAATGAAAACCTTTAAATAAGTTTCTGATGCCATCTAGCTTTGTATAAGCTGATGGAGAATGCTGTGAACATCTAGATTTTTATCTCAGCCTTTGAGAAGCCATTAAGTTGAAGGCCACAAAAACAAAAACAAACTTATGAATTCAAGCTCCAGTAAGAGAACTGGGAAGAGGTCATTAAGAAACCCCCCTCCCCTCACCAACCACAATACATCCCATTTCAATGGTGCTCCTCAGTTTGCAGATGACTTAATGCTGCATCCAGTCAGAGCACAAAAAAAAAAACCACTTCAGATCAAACATTTTAGTCAGGATATTTGGAAGGAAATTAGTCATCACTCTTCAATTCTTATAATGGCTGACAAGTTTTGCATTTTCCCCACTGATCTTTTAATGATTTATCAGTCAAGTTGGAGGGCCTCCTTGCCATCACCCTAACTGAACGGAGTCTAGTCGAGGCTCTATGTCCCTCAATAAAATGACTTCCAGTTAAGAGAGAATCAACTGGGTGGTATGAAATAAAACTGGATTCATTTATAGATCTCTATCAGCTCCTTACCACAAAACACAAGACTCCATTTTACTATATTTTAGGTTACTTATTGTGTTTACTTGTTCTTATTAAAGCTTGAATTGAATTGTGGTGCTAAAATGTTTGACCTAGTTTAACATTTAATTGCAGCACATACAGAAGAAGGCTAAAGACTGGGGAGTGAAAATGGAAGTCATTGCAGGTTAGTAAGGCGGGTAGTTCAAACCTTCCTATCAGATCAAACTCTAAACATGTGCTTTGTTTACAGAACTGAGGTATGATTTGCCGGCTTCCTACAGGTTCCACAAGAAAAAGTCGGTAGGTATATTAATGTGAACTCAAAACAGAACTTTATTTTTATAAACATTTTAATTGCTATTGGCATATGCAAACTTAAAAAAAACAAACAGAAATCACAGATTTGCATCAGTCCATGTAGGAGATCTACAAAACAAATGTCACTCAGGTCTAATGAAAAAAAAAAAAAAATCAGGGTAGATTAAACCATTAAGAGCAGGTTTATGTTGATTGTGCTAAAATTAAAATATCTTCAGATAAGAAGAAAAAAAAACATACAAATAATGACGAGAGGCACAAAACGAGCTTAAAAAGCTGAAAACTGATTCCAAGTTTTCCAAATGTTTTTAGGTTGACATCCAAGTGGACTTCATACGATTCTCCAAAGCCTGAATTTTTTTTTTTTACTGGAATGGGATTTAAAGTTGCCTCTACATTTTACATTGTGTTTAATAAATTGTTTCTGTTAAAGAAAAACTCAGCATGTCGTCTCCTCATTACGAACCGTTCTCAGTTTTGGAAACCTTTGCTGGAGGGCCGTCAGCCTCTTCAAGTTCTCTCTTTGGGGCTGCAGGTGCTAAAAAAGGAAACACAAAATCACCTGAGCATGTTTAAGAGAATGGGTACCATAACAAGCACTAATATTTATGACCATCTTACAGAGATGTGATGTTTAAATGCTGATTTTCTGTACTTACGTAGCTTTACTCACTTAACTTGAACACAAATATCAGAACTTCTTATTTGTAAAAATATTGATATTATTTTAACAGCTACAGCAAAACTAAGGAAAAAGAATCAAGAGGATGTAGAGAATCTGTACAGCTGGAACAGTGTTATTTTTTAACGAGAAAAATAACCACAGATGAAGACTGGAAATTGGGAAACATTGGAGATGATGGATCAACATGTTCCCCATCCATTCCCACTTTAGCATTTAAATGTAATTTTAGTTTCTATTTGAAACTTTAATGCTGTGAACAACAAAGCTCCTGCTTATGCAGAACTTCTGTATATTATCCTAATTTAAAACAAAACAACACTGGGTTTCTTTTACCTTCTCTCAACTAACAAAGTGGGCAAAACAGGAACATTTACACATTTTCTGGTCATAAAACCATTTTAGGAATAGTTTTAAAAGTTACTTTTGTATTTTAAGTAAAATATAAATTTTATTTTTGTACTTAAAGCAAAACAACGCAACTTTAAACCACTAGGGGGCACTAGATCTGTAACTTCCAAGTTTATCCCCTGAAAGGAAATGACATCACTGCACTGACTTAAACAGCCTCTCTCTGTTTTGGAATCTGATAGACCAGTTCAGACCAGCAGATAGAGAAGCTATGGAGTTACTTCTTAAGAAGAAAAAAAAAAAAAAAAAGAACATTACCCCCTCTATAGATTAAATCCAACATGGGAGCCAATTTTACAATTTAACTTAGCTGTGGTGTTTAAGGGGAGCTCAGGCTGCTGTAACGCGGCACTTTGGGTTACATGACTTATTCAGTGACGGATTCGACCCTCTTAAGTTACAGCAGTGAAGTTCTGACCAGGGCAGCCACCAGAGCAAAGATACTTGAAATGTTGTATATTGGCAAGAGAAATTATTTGATCTCTAAAATAAGTCTAATAATGGGGTCAAAACTTAAACAATGTTGCTTTAAGTACAATTATTTGTACTTTTAGCATTTTTAAGCAAGTTTTTTTTTACTTAAATATTAATATAAACACATTTGATATCCCTTTTCTGTATTTTATTGTATGCATGTCTTGTTCAGCTGTAATCCCCTTACACCGATACCTCCAACTACAGCACGTTTCCTTCAGGAATTTCAGATTGAATAACTTAAAACGAAATTCTGTTTGTTCCAATTCAGCTAATTAAGGCCTCAGGTTTGTTAGAGAACTTCAGTGAACAAGCGACACCATAAAGACCCAGTAACACAGCTTAGAGGTCAGATTTTGGGTATTAAATTATATCCTAAGCTTGGAACACTCAGAGCTCCATTTACCCATCATACGCATATGGCTGTCTACAGACCATATGCGACCAGAACTGACAGGCCAGGCAAAAGAAACGATGAGAAAAGCAGCCCATAGACCTATGGTAACTCTGGAGGAGCTGCAGAGGTGCACAGCCCAGGTAGGTCATCTGACAACAGTCAACTGTACTCTTTACAAGTTAAAACTTTAGAGGCTTTCATTGCTCCATCTGTCACATGTAATCTCAATGTAAAGTCTAGGCTATAGGAAAAGAATTTAAAAGTCCAGTTGTTTACTAGATTTAGTTAAATGGTTTCACTTACCTTCATCATCCTCATTATCACTATCGAATTTGGTTTTCTTTCCTTGGAACTGTGCTCTGCCTTGATCTCTGCCGCCACCCCTTCCCCTTCGGCCTCCTCTTCCTCTGCCACCTGATCGTCCTCTTCCACCTTAGTTACCAGACAGGAACACATCAGCACTGAAGTACTGAGCATCTTTGCTACACCTACATCCAAAATGTGATGCCTGAGGATGAGGCCCTACCTCTGCCTCTGGAACGATTATATGATTCCTGCTGAGCTTGGATGATGTTCTTTAGAACCTGTTTCTCCTCATCTCCCTCGAGTACCTGCCATGTAACGCTTCCGCCCTTTATTTTCAGTTCTCCGTTGTTTGCTTCCTTGGCTTTCTCAAGAGCTTCTTTTGCGTTTCCATCAAAAAGAAGCGTTCCCTTAAAGCGAGCAATGAAAAAAGTCAAACAACCTCTAAATCTGTTACTACACATTTGAGTAAAAACAGACTTAACTGTAGAGATCTGAGTCCTTTGCATTAATCTTAAGATATTGAATACTAAAAGCATCTGTGTATATATGGCATGTTGAAAGACTAAATATTTAAAGTAACTGAAAACAAGGAAGAAAGCAGGACTGAAAGAAAAAAAAAAAACTATATGGAAAAGGAGGAAGGACAGAAGGAAGAAAGGCTAGACGGACAAACAAAAAGGACACTAGGTAGGAAAGGAAAAGAAGGGAACGAAAATCGAAGAGAATGGGACACAAAAAACGGAATGTGAAGGAACTAACAAGTGAGATGAAGGAAAGGTTGAAATGGAAAAACAAACAGTTTTTCATCCTAAACTGAAAAATGGTGAATTGACATTCCATAACATACCTCCTTGGCTCCTCTTGTGAAGTCAACCCACTTTATCTTTCCATGTCCGGAAAACAACGCATGGAAGTCCTCTCTAGAAACATCTTCAAGCTCTCCAGAAAAATTCAACAAACATCCGGTCTGTTCCTCCAGGAGCAAACCCTATAAATAATTATCATACTTTAATTTTAATCATTTAACTCATTAAATATGTTTAAAAAAACTATTTAGAAAGAGACAAAGTTTCATGTTAGTAAATCGTACCATTTCCTTGTCCTCAGCATTTTTCTGTTGCTGCTCTTTCTCCCTTTAAGATATTTTAGAATAAGGTGGGTAAGTCATTTTTAAATAGCGTTTTTGATAGAAAATGCCACACTTTGGACACTTACTGTTTTGCTTTAGCTTTCGTCTCAGCTTTAAAGTTTTTCCTTTCTTCTGCCTTCTTTGCATGGTAGGCTTCCCTAGAAGAAATAAATAAAAAAAAAAACCCAATGGTAGCAATAAAGGGAAAGTACAATTGTTTTGAACACCTAACCAGACTCCCTCAATGCTAAAAAATATTTAGTTTTACAGCTCAGCAGAAACATAGACCAGTCAGTACCTCAACTTAAAATCAGAAAATGTACATATTTTCAAGTGCATTCCAATAAAGAGCCATTTGTTGTTTTTTTGGATATCAAATGCTCCAAATGTTAGAAGACTGGCTACTAATATAATAACTTTTTATTTGCAATAATGCTCTTATAACTATTGAGTATTGCAGTAAGAAGCAACAGAACTTACCTCGACAACACAAGCATCTCATTGTCTTTAAATGTTTTTACGTCAGAGCGTTCCAAGAACTGCTTTGCCGACTCTTCCGTTTCAAAGCAGATGAACACGGATCCCTGGAAGAGAAATTAATGGTAGATCTACTAACAGTCTTACAACCTTTTACCACTGAAACTGTCATATGATGCCTTTTGTCTACCTTGAACTGTCTATGCACATTTTTCCTCATCTGAATGTTCTCGATGCTGCCTTTACCATTCAGCCACTCCTGAACCTCATCTAGAGTCGTTTCAAGAGGAAAACCTTTCTGCAGAAGAAAAGAGAAAAAATAACAATAGTAGAAATAAAGGACATTAAACATCCATGTCTTATACCACTTTTTCAAATAAAGCTATATCCTTTAGCTTTTTGTTGCTCAGGGAAATATATAAAGAGGAAGATTTAAAACTCCGCAGTTAGAATGGGAGGAGTGAGCCTAAGTCCAATTCCTAAGTTGAAACATTTAAGTTATTTTTTACTGTGGGAAACCTGAGGAGATGCAAACAGTAACAGAGGAAGAAAGAAAGGACAAAGGAAGGAAGGAAGGAAGGCCAGTGAAAGATGCAAGAAAGGAAGGTAGGGGAGAAGGACCAGAGAAAAATAAAAGAAAGGATATAAGAAACTAAGGAATGAAGGATCAAAAAATACTGTAATAAAGAAAGGATCGCAGGAATAAAGTGCTTAAGAAACAAGGCAAATAATAGGAAAAAAGTTGGAGGTCAAAGAATGTCACAACAAAGGAAAACAAAAGATATTAATGCATAGGAACAAAGTAAGGGAAGATAACGAAAGAAAAAAAAGACAAGGGAAGAAACAAGGATAGAAATGATGAAGAAAAAGAGGAAAAATCTTGAAATTAAATTCCAGTTTTCCCAACCCTGCGAACTTATAACATCTGCCTCAGGATGTTGAAGTGAATTGTTTTTAGGTTTGGCTTAAAAACACTTGATCTGATGCAGAAGGTACCACACATTTGGAATAGAAGAGACGTAAAAATGAAACTTACAATGTAGACAGATCTGTGTTTCACTGCGTCTTTGTATTCATCATTCAGTTCTGGTAAGGGTTTATCTGGAGACCTCCTTATCTTTGTTTTGTCCTCACTGATCTCCAAGAGGCCAGTCTTCGATTTTTGGAGAGCTGAAACGACGACGCTGGTCTCTGTAGTTAAAGATTTCAGTCTAAAAAAGATGAAGAGACAATTTTCTATTGGTAGAAATGATTTAAATATTTAGATGACATTAACTGTTTGATAAAAAGGTTGAAGCAATAAAGCAATTTATGAAAAATCTAAATATTGTCTGTCAGCATCTCAGTATCAATGAATAGAGCTTCGCCAAACTGCCTCCATTTTAATGCTAAAAGCAGCTGCTGGCCCCTCAGAAGCTCTACAACATAAACCTAAGTTTGTTTGTTTTGTTTTTTTATACACAATTCTAATGAATTTGTGGGACCTTTACATAAGTTAGGAGGTGAAAAGTTAATATAATATATATCAGCGTAAATGGAGCTTGTTTTGTGGTAATATGATAATATGGTGCAGTACTAGCCTGATAATACCATAATACTCTACTAGTTTACATAATGGGACTGTGTATTTCATGGAAGAAGCTTCTAACAAGCAACTCATCAGCGTTTCTAGTTATGGTCCCACACTGCACTGACTTTTAATGGTCTTTAAATAGACTGACAATAGTATCTGATTACACTTATAACTCTCTTGCTTGAGGGGAAATACAGCAGCTTATCTGGGTTTCTCACAGCATATTAAACCACAATTACTGAACAAAGGCCGACAGAGTGCTCCAAAAGGAAACAGTCTGAGTTTTTATTCTTATAGCTTTTAGTTGACACTCGTTGTGGTTTAAATTTAATCTCTGGGAGCTTTAATTGCATCTGTGATAATCAATGTTGCATTTTATCTTCAATGTTGAAAAGAGCAGGAACAGGGTAATATGAAACCAGAATAAAGCCCTCCCAAAAAACATGAACCACGATGCTCCTCTAAAACCCTTTTCCATAATAAAGGCTTCAACGTGATCTTAAACTCACACTAAGCTTGTCATTACAATAGAATAGAAACCAAACAAACCTGTTAAACTTCAGCATGGTCTCCAAAGCCACCCAGCCATCATCAAGCTGCAGCTGCTCTTTCAGAAACTTGTCTCTGGGGAGATTGTGGTCCCCAAAGTAATACTAGGTGGAAATAAGGAATGTTTGCATCAGACTATATATAAAAATGATTATTAAAGATTATAGAAGCATGTTTATAAGCCATTGGTATGGAGGATCTTTCCTTCCAAAAACCAGTGCTTGCATTTAAAACTTTTCTCTTAAATCTATTCTCTTCTCCATCAAATCTTTGTTTCTGCCCTCAGATCTGGTGCTTGTACAGATATTTTATCCACTGGTTTGCTCCATTTATGCACCAGTTGCTTGAGTCAGAGATGCGTTCGCAAACCCATTGGCTCTGCTTGTGGATCTTTTTCGCGCACTCTCAGACTGGAGTCAGATCGTCTCCTAGCAACCTTTCCAGCCGATTAAACAGCAGCCCCAGAAAGGGTGCGCTTGTTTTTTTCTGAGTTTTCCTGTTATGCTAAAATTGCTAAAATGGCTTTTAAAAGGTTTTCTTCTGACAAAATTGTGTGCTATGGGGTTGGATTTGAAAAATCAGATGTATGAAATCATAGACAAAACTGAACCGGTTTATGAACCATTTTAGCCCCGATAGAAGTAGGCTACTTACTTGAGTGTCTTGATAGTTGATCCATCTTTAGGCCTGAGGTAAATACAAAACACCAACTTCATAGTATGCTAGTCAAGAGAGATGCTAATTCTGCCTCCAACAAATAACTGTTTTCATTTTCAGCTTCTTATTTTAGCAGTAAAAGGCAATCTCAGTAGAAGAAATAAAATTCATCTTTTCTGAGGCTGTAGTTCTATTAGGTGGAAATGTTTTAAGACAACCATCCAACTCCAGCCAGAGAGCAAAAAAAATCTATAAGCAGAGCCAATGGGCTTGTGAGGGTATCTCTGACTCAAGCAGAGGCTGGTTTGCACGCAAAGAGGTAAACAAGAGAAAATATCTGTGCAAGAAGCATCGGATCTGAGAACAGAAAAAGATTTGATGGAGAAGAGAATAAATTTGAGAGAATGAAGATGTTTTGGAAACAAAGCATTACAAGCTTTGAGTGCAAGTAGAAGAAATCCTGCTCTCAAATAAAAGGAAAAAAATTCTTGATGCATAGTTACCTCTACTTGACGAGCCACTTTCATTTCAATGGGAGACATCTCTTCTTGGTTTTCTGCCATCCTTCTCTGCAGACAACAGTAATGCAGATAATTAGCATGCATCTTTCTAAAATGATACGACACCACTGTCTAATCATATACTATGTAAGTAAATCGGTCAACGAACTTCGGCAGCATTTGCACAGCCTCAGTGTTCAGTCAAGATGTGGGAGTTCATAGGAGAGTTAGATAGTTTGGATATGTCTTAAGAATAGATTGTTTTTTTCCAACCAATCTAGTTGGTTAAATTAAACAATGTAATGATCAAAATCTAAGCAAGCCACTGATTATAGATGTATTGGATTCTAAGAAATGTAGCTTTTTGTAGATATATCACAAATAATCAGTTATATTACCAACTGTAGTTTTGCACTCCATCAGTAGGTGGTGACATGTTCATATGAGGCTTTATGAACTGTGGAGATTGCTGCTGCAATTTGGCCAAACGATTCAATGCCTTCATCTCACCATTACTATAGAAAACATAGATTTGCCCATCTCCTCCTCCTCCTCAAGAAACACTTTAATCCCTGTTTATTTGTTCAGACACTGTGTGCATTGAGAGCTATGATCCCATGAGCTTTTCATAAATGGTAAATTCAATCCATTCATCCTTGTATGGAGTTTGGGTCTATAGACCTATTTTTTAGGAGGGGTTGGGGTACATTTTCAAATTTAGTTCCTAACATATTAAAATTATATTTAAAGTAAAAAAAATTTAAATACAAACAATATTGCAAATTAATCTTTAAGAGAAAGAAATGTTTGTAATATCTAGGAGACGTCTTGGTGAAGACCACGTTTCTCAATACTATTAACCATAGATGCTGCATATTGATGTAAATGTGTTGTAATTTTGTCAAATGTATAATAGTTTGCTTTTGTGTAGTTTAAAGCTATAACTAAGGGTTCACCAGACGCACAAACACGGTCTAAATACCAAAAACAGTAAAACTACAAAATGTTTTAGTCGACATGCTCTTGTTTTAGTGGAAATAAACTAATTATTCTGACTTATGCAAATGTGTTTTCTCAACCAAGGCTTTGTCTTTTAAATGTTACAAAGCTCAACGAGAGAACTTCTTAAAACTGACCGCTGTTTCACATCTGGAAACAGCCAATTAATCACTGTCCCTCATCATTCAGGTAGCATGTGGCGGCTAGCCACCTTGCTAACTTAGCTTATACTCAGTCGCTTTGGCTTTTTAAACCAAACATTTCAGACATTTATGGCACACGGCTCAATGTAGATAGCAAAGTTTGCTCATTACAACGGTGCCTATTTTACTTAAAACGACACTTCGGCCTAAAATGTTAGCTGAGCTCTAAATCAGCAAGGCTTTTTCAGCGGCATGCAATGAACAAATGCATAGCATAAAAACCTCCTCTGCTTTTTAAAATTTGGAAACTAGTAATGAACAAAATTAACAATGTATAAAAACATGTTTCGTAAGTTTAAATTACTTACAGGGGTTATGTTTAGAGAAGCAAATCACACTTTTAGCTTCAAAAACAAGAACTCTACACTTCCCTGCGTGCACGTTGTTAAACTGCGTGTTACGGAAAACCTAAAGGGTCAAAAAGCACGGTCAGCGCATTTCCTTACGTTTTAAAGTGTTGTAATACAACATAAAGCCAGCGGGTGGTGGTGTTCTACCGTCAACTTTAATTCACATCAATGTTTAATTTAACTAAATATAAACGAATATTATGTGTATAGTGGTAAGAACAACCAAAATCACAGTCGATAAGAGGGAAATAATTCAGTGCTCTTTAAATTAGATTGCACCAACTCAAAACTAATATTCTCTAAACATTTACAAAACAAGCAGGTCGAATTCGTATCAGAGCTGTGAATCTAATAAATCTAAATGTATATGAGAAAAAAAAAAAGTCCCTTTCAAATCATTGTAGTCGTATAATCAGATTCTGATCTGACTACAAACAGTCCAGCTCCATTGCATTTACAATGGAGAAATATTTTTATTATTATTAATTTTTTTTGTGAGGGGGG